TCAACGTTTTGCAGATGTCTGATGATACAATTGTGACAGAAGAAATGTTTATTGGGACATCCTTTTGGGTTGTTCAACACTTTGCAGCATATGCAACATTTCAGTTCGTCGCTGACTGGCGTTTCAAATCGAGATTCGTCGATTCCACCAAGGGGATATCGCGAAGCCATTGTGTTTTTATGCTAGAAAATTGAACAAATTCGTCATCTCCAAACGTAGAAATCATACAGTGGCCTTTGTAATTTAATGTTTTGTAGAAAAGCATCAAAGCAAGTGACAGTGTAATGTGAGTGGTCAGATGGTGTGGTTAATTGCAGTTCACTATTAATTTCCAATTCTTGTTGCTGAGTAAATTGGGATTAATGTTAGAGCACATTATGGCGCATTGCAGGTGGATGAGTTGTATTCATATCACAACAATTGGTCAACATTCCTATCATTTTTATACAAGCTATTTTATAGATCTACACTTGTTTTTATCAATCATACAGTATATACGATAAAATTCCTGTAAATATTCATAGATCTGAATATACTGGGAGACATTTAAATTAAGGAACGCACCTTCAGAAGCGAGCTTCAATTCAGAAACAAAGATAATCCATGCATAGCTTCAGAGTTGATGGGGTGAAGAATTCACTTTCGCTTTGCTTTTGTCAACTGCAACAGCTTCTGAAAGAGTCATTTAAGATGAATCTCTGATCAGTTTTGTTAATATATGATGTGAACTAATTTTAATTGACTAATTCTAAAATTACACTCTAATTTCTTAATTATAAATCAGCTGAAGATAGTATATAAAATATTAAAATACGGAACCACGGTACATTGATTTAGTCAACAGTTTAATCTATTCAACTAGTGTTTATCTATTGCCAACTTTCATTTTCAGATAACTGCCAAAAACTAAATTGATATATTACTGCCGTTACAGTTGGAAAACACCGCAGGCTCAGTTTTCAAAATGGCGGCCGTTAGAAATGTTTCAAACAATTTCATTAAAATGTTCAACAAATTGTACCTGTTTTCTATGGATTTTGCATTGTGTCTAACTCTGGACATTCCTGCTAGTTTAGTTAATGCATTTTTCTTGGTGCACGACTCTGAAAATCCGAAATTTGGATCGTTGAATTAGGGACCGGTCATTATTTATGGAAGGGGGGAGGGGAATTTTTTCTTTCCTAAATTTTTAAAATTGAACCCCCCCCTTAAAAGAGCAGAAATTTAATGGTGACCCCCCTGCATATTAGAATATTTTTCTTTGACCCCCCGCCCCCCCATTTTCATTTTTACTCGTCAAATGGAGATTCCCAAGCGTTATAGTAATAGTGTTAATTATTAAATAAGAATTTGGAACTGATAAGATATTAACGCACTGAAAAGCCACCTTCAAATTGTTTCTTATTAATAAATGATATTATAAATAAAAGAGTATTTTTATATATAACACTAAAATCGGGTTTCCATTTGGTCTGGGCGATTGTAACCATGTCAAGATAGCTGATGTAATAACACATTGTCAATTTATCTCTGCAATCAGTAAAATACTGATTTGCATACAGCACACAAAAGACAAGATAAATCCAGACTATTTTACATCAGTGACCATGATTTAGTCGCACAACCAAATGGATATCAAGCTTATTAAACGAATTCCTTCAAATTTAATTGCACCCCCCCCCCCCTCATTTTCTCAAAAAAATTTAATAACCCCCTTCTATTAATTTATTTATACATATGCCCCCTTATTTTTGCTCCCTTCCGCCAAATAATGACCGTTAACGAATTCCCATGCACGATCATAATATACTGAATCTGAAAATAAACGAGCCAAAGACAAAAGGTTTTAACTTAAACTACACAACGTGACAACATAGTTTTAATAGATAACTACTATAATTGTTAAGTTTTTATATAGGTAGTGAGAACCATATTGGTGTCATATCAATAAAATTGATTCAACAACAGTCCCTAATGCATGAGTCAATTCCAGGAGTAACCATCCCCCCCCCCCCGGGAACACACCCGGGAATTTGATTAGATTGGTTATGACAGTGTAAATGCCCGGGTGCCGGGACACAACTTGAAGACTAATGCACGGCCCCTGGGCAAGCTGAGAGTGGAAAATGCCCCACCCCGGGGACGATTTTACAGTCGATTTCACAAAACTTTGACCACAAATGTTCCGAATTTCGTTGCGAAGTTCGCAAGTTCGTTGTGAAGTTCGGAAGCTCATATTGGAATTCACAAGCCAATTTGTAAACAAAGTCCCTGATTGATCCGTGAAGTAAAAGAAGCCAATCATATGCGTAGTTTACGAACTGGTTTGTGAATCTCATTATGAACTTTTGAACTTCGCAACAATCTTGTGAACTTCGCAACGAAGTTCGGAAATTTTGTGGTCAAAGTTTCGTGAAATCGACTGTAAACGTTAATTAAACTTTTAAAGGCATATAATCATAGTCATTTAATAACATTATAGTATTAAACTGCTATGGAATATTATAAAACATAAACATTTAATAGTTGTATTTAAATTTGCATAACAGAGAGTATAATTTTCGCTTATTCTTACAATAAATTTCACGCCACCTTGACCACGAGCACACGAGGGCGCAAAACACGATCAGCGCGCCCACATGCTTGCCTGAACTATGTTTTGCTGCCTTAAAATTTGTGGGTGGGATTCTGGGCAACCATTTGTCAAATCCCCGGGGTCCTCCAATACCCGGCCCCCGTGCACATATATGAAAGGCAAATTCCCGACCCCCGTGAACTGTCTATCGGGCAAATGCCCGTGGGTGTCCCGGGGGGGGGGGGATGGTTACTCCAGGAATTGACTCATGCATAATAGTTAGCTGTGGAAAGGTGAAAACTGTAGTGTGAAATATGATATTGTAATGGCTAATGCCTATAATGGCACAATAAGGGTAAAAATACCAACGTTCGATTCAGCGTAAGAAATTGTACTTACACTCTTACAGATGTCAAATTATTCCTAAACAACAGTATTCTAGCGATTTATGGCCTTTGAAAATCAAGCGAAATTGTGTTGTTGACAAATCGCTCAAAATTATTGATAATTAAAAATGCAGTACGTTTGTAACTTTGGTCACGATAGACTTTTTGCTGCGCATTATCTCTGGTTTTATGCGCCCAATAAGGATAAAAATACCACCGTTCGATTCAGCGTAAGAAATTGTACTTACGGGTGTCAAATTATTACTAAACGACAGTATTCTAGCGATTATGGCCTCTGAAAGTCAAGCGAAATTAAATTGTATTGTTGACAAATAGCTCAAAATTATTAAAGTAATTAAAAATGCAGTCCGTTTGATCCTTGATAAGTTGATACCTTTGGTTTTCTCTTTTTCGGCCTTATACCAATGGATTCGTCTCTCTTCATTTTGATAGTATTTTGAGCCCAAAAGCCCCAAAAGATTTTATTTTAAAGCGCAGTTTGCTTTCAATCGTATGTAGTGTACTAAATATAATTTTACTTGTAGGCGTTGTTGTGCAAGTGCGTCCTCGCCATGTTGGATGACATTTATAGGGCCATTTATACGAGCGAAAATATAAATAAGCTGCGGCTTAATTTAAATAAGTCACGAACAACTCGTATAAACAGTCAATTTGCAATAAGCCGCAGCTAATTTAGGCCCGGTTTAGACGCCGTGCTTTTCATGAGCCGAACTTAATACAATGAATTAAGCACATGAGAAGCACGGCGTATTAAGCACGGCTAAATTAATAAGTTCGCCTGGTTCAGGCGTGCTACATGGCTGAAGCACATGTTGATTTATACTAATACTGCCGTGCTTTACATGAGCCGTACCAAATGCATAAATTATGATAAAATAGAACATTTTTAGTACGCGTGCGTTGATTGGTCGAGAAGCGTGTTTCTACGCGGGAAATTTCCCGCCTAAACTTACAATCGTAAACAAAACAATTTTAATGGAAATTAAGAATTGTTTAATACAGTCAAAATACAAAAACCTTCCCACTTCCGCAGCTTGTTTTGTATTTCTGTAATTTGTTCTATTTTTTCTGTAGTGATTTAATACCGCTTTATCCGCAAATATCGCGGTAGAATTTCCCTTTCTTTTCTTTATATATACGTCAATTTGTAGCAAAGGATACACCTTTCGTTAGATTCTTTGCATAAAAGCAGGCCTTAAAATATCTTTTACAGGGCTGTCTGACAAAATGTCCGGTGACGTTGAGTTTGGGTCGGACGTATGTCCGATGACCTTCATTTCAATTTTGACTCGGAAATAAGTCTGAATGACACAAATGAATAAACGGTAATGGTGGAAAGATATTAAATACTTATTTCCAAGCCAAAATTAACTTGCTTGCTAAAACAGCAGTATTAAAAAAGACTTCAACAACTCAAGCCCGTTTGCTCGCCGCCCCGAGCTCGACTACGTTAAAACAACATTACAAGCCTCTAGTCCTGGGCTAGGGTACATTTTGATTTACGTTGGACAAAGCTACAGTTCGGTCGGACACCAATACACTCGGGTCGGACAAACAATAAACCTCAGTTTCACTTTGGTCGGACAGAATGTCCGGTGGTTTCTTCTCTACGTCGGACAATTTCACGAATGGGTCGGACAATGTCCGTGACCGACGGATATTTTAAGGCCTGTAAAAGTTGCGAAATTAGGCTTATAGCGATATTTGCTGATAAAGGCAAAAAGGGTTTCTTGCAGTGAAATTGATCAGTGGAGCAAAGGTCGGCATTATTATGTAATGAGAATTTGTAAATATATCGAGTCTACTACAAATCTTTTTTTAGTTATATTATGAAATAAATATAAAACATTTATTATGTGTGACCCATACAGTTATAGAAACACTTGTAGTAGTTTGGGAGAACTCAAATAACGTAGAAAAACTCGCCCTAAGCCTATAGGTCTCGTTTCCCTACACATTATATCCAGGCATTATGCTATGTTTGTAGTAATAAGGCTTTTCAAAAAGTAGATAAAATTTTTAATAACCGCAAACCTGTAGACGCTCAGAAATGCCAAGATTGTATGTGATAAACCCTTTTTTCTTATTATGAAATGTCACTCGCCCCAGGTTTCGAAGTGAAGCAGCGCAAATTATTAAGTACGGCCAGGGCGCTGTAAAACACGGGCGGTGAAACGGCTATGGCGCCCCTGATCTATGTGTGATGCAGGTCCCCCCGCATATTTTCATTTTTATTCGAATTCGATGTGGTTTGATCAGGCATGCATGTTTGTTTTAACTTCTTTTTAAAATTACTACGTAAAAAGGTACAATTCAAGCTGAATTCACAATGGATTTGGGATCTGTGCTATTACTATAGACAAAATCTTTTTTCCGGATTCTTAATCACGGCTGATTATATGGGGAATGTTGTAGTGTAAGATATAAGTCTGGGATCTCACTCACGACAATCGATTATTTTTGCAAAACAACTTCGTTCGTTTATAAGATGAAAAAAAAGACGAAGACAAAGTTTTTAAACGGCTGTTGTTGTAAAACCTGCAACTGGAATGTGTGTTTGGAAATCAGGTATGTTCAATCACATGTATTTTTGTCAAGTTCCACCAGATGAAGCGCCATAAATTGATAAAAACAGCAAGTTCTTTTTTTCAAGCCATAGTTTGTTGTCGCAGTTTTACAAGCGCGGAAAATTTTTAACTTTTAAATATTTCATGCACAATATATGAAAACTAGTTTTATTTTGATGTTTTTGTATAATTTAAGTACCTAGTTTTCTGAAAATCATCAAATGATAATGGGCTTTTTTAATTTTTAAACATTTTTTTGCCCTTGTTTTTGACATGTGCATGCCAAATCTACGCATGAAATACAAGCAAGCGATAGTTTGTTGTCGCAGTTTTACAAGCGCGGAAAATTTTTAACTTTTAAATATTTCATGCACAATATATGAAACCTATTTTTATTTTGATGTTTTTGTATAATTTAAGTACGTAATTTTCTGAAAATCATCAAATGATAATGGGCTTTTTTAATTTTTAAACATTTTTTTGGCCTTGTTTTTGACATGTGCATGTCAAATCTACACATGAAATACAAGCAAGCGATAGTTTGTTGTCGCAGTTTTACAAGCGCGGAAAATTTTTAACTTTTAAATATTTCATGCACAATATATGAAAACTAGTTTTATTTTGATGTTTTTGTATAATTTAAGTACCTAGTTTTCTGAAAATCATCAAATGATAATGGGCTTTTTTAATTTTTAAACATTTTTTTGCCCTTGTTTTTGACATGTGCATGCCAAATCTACACATGAAATACAAGCAAGCGATAGTTTGTTGTCGCAGTTTTACAAG